CTGTGGTACTGGGACATAATCAATCTTGGAGTCTTTGAAGACATTGTGCAACATGAAAATCTCAGGCTTTGGACTAAAGCTTTGTTTGGAAATACTGTTGAGAAGTGTTTCAAAATACAAAGGAATAAAAACTGTGAGAAGATGGATCCCACTGAGCTCGTCCTCTGATTATGCTTGCTTAGGAGTATTCTGTGCAGTGGAAGCTATAGGCTCAACTTTTTTTGAGACTCAAAAATCAGTCTGTCTTTGAAAAAGTTGGTGAAGGTAGATTGAGTAGTCTGGCTTTCTGGTTTGAGTATAGCTTTTACAGTGTGGACAGCATTTTAAAAGACAGTGCAGAACAGCTGACATCTCCACTGTGTGTTAAAGAACTGTTAAATTATGCATGGTCAGTTAACAAAATGAATATATATTTAGCTTTTGGAAGAAGCTCATTTTATTTGCTAAACAGGCCTCTGCTTTTTGGAACTTACACTAATTCAGCTAGCTTCAATGGCCAAAGTCTCTCTGACTTTATTTGTACCAAAGTTCAGAATGGAGCCCAAACCCTCTGCTGATCTAAAACGAACACATCTCCACAGCCGATTTCAGTAGAGCTGGCCAGATAGGCATCAGGTAAGGATGCAGTTTTCTGTGCGTTTGGCACCTTAAGTCATTTATAATTGTGACAGGGAGGTGTTTAAAGGCAATGCCTTTGGCATGTATTAAGTGTTTTAGAGTTGCAGAGGAGTTTGGAGTAGGGATCGTTGTTGCTTTCCAAACCACTCATGCTTTAGACTCCAGTGTAGTATAATTTTTCTTGCTCTTCGAATGTGATTTTGTTTTTCAAAGCAGAGCAAGATACTTTGTTTTTTATAATAACAGTGAGGTTGTAAAGTCTATAGTTTGCCTACTTTAAAAAATAAAAGGCTTAGCTGCAGTTTTAACCAGTACTCAAGGGAAAAACAGACTTGAACAGAAAAATAATGTACATAATTGTCAGTCACCTTCCATCTGATCTGAAGCATAAAATTGATTTGTTTTAAGAAAGCTATAAGCCTTTTAGAATTGAAGGTATGTACAGTGGAAGGTGTTCTGCTCCAGTAGTAAGTTCACACACAAAGAAATGAAATACAGAGAGGCATCTTGGGGAGCAGGTGCTTCACATCTATGGCATAGAGTTAGTCTAGCAGAGGGCTCCCGTCATGGTCAGGGGGCTGGAGCGCTTGTGGGAATAGGGAGCGGGGTTTGTTCAGTTGTAGGAAGAGAAGATTAAGGGAGATAGTACGGCTGTCTTCAACTATGTATTGGGAGGAGTAGAGAAAGTGGAGCCAGATTCTTGCAGGCACATGGTGATTGATGTGCTGAGAAGCAATGGACACAGTTGGAACATGGGAAATTCTCATGAGATACAGTTTTTTAAATTACTTTTTCTTTTAACAACAAGGATGCTCAAATATTGAAACAAGAGCCCTGAGAAGTTGTGGGATCATCCATCCTTGGAGGTGCTCAAAACGTGGCTGAATGAAGCCCTTATGTAGTTTGTCCTGCTTTAAGGGGAAAGTTGAACTAGAGGTTCCTTCCAAACTAAGTTATTAGTTAGGAAGTAAGGGGCAGCTTGGAGAAAGCAGGTGAGACAGTCCTAGAGGGAAATTAGCAGGATAAATTGCTGAAATACTGCTGTTGGTAAGTTTTCTTCTCTCATTCACAAATAGTGCTTTTTCTCTGGTGTATAGAATGGCTTTGTTGCAAAACTTCAAGGAGGAGTTTGCCCACAAGGTTGTCTCTGGTGCTCATTGGCAGTGCCCGTCCTAGAGTAGAGTGTGGGGTGCTGCCTGTCTCTGGGGTGAGAGCTGCATCTCAGCAGTGTCCATGCAGCGTGCCGCTCGGTCTCTGCCAGGTCACTGTATTCCTCCTCTCTTCTTTTTCTTTTGGAGAGGGTATTTTGCATTAAGATGAAAGAGATGAGATAAACTAATTTTAGTGTCAGAGTTATTAAACACTTCAAGATATTACTTATCAGTTCTAATTTGATTTCAGCACCCAGGCATGCATATAGTACTGAAAACTTTTATTACATTTCTATAATTGTGTTAAAAGTGATACCCTTGGGCTAGTATCGAAGCAAGTGAAACTGCCAAGCTCTGTGCGTGACAGTAGTGACCTGATAGTACTGCTAGGGGAGCGGGGCTTGCTCTTTGCTGGTCTTCTAATGCTCTGTGTTCTACATCAGGCTCCTCAACTGTCAGGGGCTTAGTGCTGTTTCTATTTAAGTGCCCTTTGCATCATTTGGCTCTAGACCAACACAAACTCATCTTTGGGCTCTTGCAGTATTCGTTGTAGGAGATGGCTGGGTGGGGAATCCCGGGAGTGCAGTTCCAGCTGAGATAGCTGTATTCTTAAAGGTTCCTGCGGTGCCGTGGTTCCAAGGGGAACGCTTGGCGCAGCACTGATAGCTGCGTGTGCCTTCCTTGCCAGGACTGGCATGGAGTCAGCATGGAGCGCTCCGTATTTCAAACCCTTTGATACAGGTCTCAGCTTTGCAAAAGCCTTTCAGACAAAAATTCAGAGGGCTACTATAAGGAGAAACGCTTTGAGTAACAGCAGCTGGACATGGCAGATGCTGAGTACCATTTAGAACCCCTCTGTTCAGACACCTATTTACAAAACTGACTTAGTCTGTACTATAATTTCGCATTTGCTTTGTGGTGGCAGCTAAGGGAGGTGGTCCTTCCCTGACCCCTAGTTCCTCGTGACAGAACAAACGTATGTTCATGGGGTGAACTGGATCAGGGAACCAATCCAAGTCAAAATTAGCCTGGCCAAGAAGCTAATTTCGACCTGGGACAGCTTCTCTGGCAGACGAGAGCAGGCGAGCGTGCCCAGCCGGTGACGAGCGCGCAGCCCTCCCGCGGCTGCTTTTAGCCTCCTGCCAGCGTACGCCCATGCGTGATGCCCTGTCCCAAGGTCTTTCAGCAGAGTTTAGGACTTCAAACTTGAGTGGGCAGAGTTGTGTTTTCCTATATTTGAGTTTATATCCAAGCATGAAACAAATCCATGTCCAAAGTAGTATCCTGAGTCAGTCCAGTCTGTGACAACTTTGATGTTTGTTTGTGAACTGATATAAAAACATAGGTAAAGTGAAATATTTCACTTTGGTTTTGACCTTTTTGACATAAATTAGCTGCACTTTCAAATGAGAGTAGTTGTAAATGGGAAGCAATATCTTCAAGTCAGATTAAATGTTTCAGCCAGCTCTACGTTTGTTTTTTTCCTGCCGAGGGAGCGTATTGGAGCTCCTCTCTGCAATTCTGCTCTCAGGGAGCTGTTGACCCGGAGCTGGCTCTGAGCAGAGCCTGCTTGCGTGGATGTTCCTCTACTACTTTTTCAGTCTGCATCCTTGTACCCTCTTGTTTTTCATCGTTGTCAACTGTATGTGGAGTCCTGCTGTGTGTTAACCTGCAAGGCCGGCTGGTGAGGATTAATGCCGTGTAATTGCTCGTTAATATTTCTGTCACAAGGCCTGGTCCACGCGTTCTGTGGTGACTGGAGTGAAATCCTCTGAAGGAATATGGCCTCTTGGAGAATAAGGGCTGTTTCCAGCCATTGGTGCCCCATTGGGTTTTGTTTTGGTTTTGTTTTCGTTTTTTTTTCATGCCTTTGGTTTTGGATTTGCTCTACTTAATAGTCCCTTGTTTTTTTTGTCTCCTTCTTAAAACATGTATTTGTGAAGCACCAGAATAATATTTATCTGTAGTCTGATACAGCTCCTTTCTGGCACCTGCAAATCCCATGTTGTAGAAGAGCAAATAGACCCTGAGTGTCCATCACAACTTTGTGTGACGTGGGTTTCCTAATCAAGGACACTAAACTTACTGAAACATACGCAAAGATGAAATGATTTAAAAAAAACCCAAACAAACAAGCCAAAACCAAACCAACCACCACAAACAACAACAAAAAAACCTCCCAAAAAGTATTACACAAAATAAGTTTTTAATCAACTTTCAGCTATCTAAGTAGTTGTGAGGTGGGTGTGATTTCTGTGCCTTTACATTACGTATAGGCAAGCTAGAACTTGGTTTCAAAAATTTCAAGATTATTGTTAAGTAAATGGAGATCTAGTAAGTTAAAACCAGTTCATTGCGGTTCAAGTGAATACTTGTTGACTTGCACTAGGAGTTAAGCCTAGAAATTGAAAGAGCAGTCTCTGACTTCCCAGCGGTTGTAGGTAGCTCTGGATCTCTCTGTGTGGAGTTACTTACCTCTGGCCCTAGACAGCTAAACTGAGGCGGTTGGAGAAATAAATTCTGTTTTTGTGGCAACTATTGCTGCTTGTTTTGTTTTGAAATCTGATTCAGAAAGGAACTAAACATGTTAAAACTAGAGGGAGGTGGGAGGAAAGCCACTTCAGCTACCATAGCTTTTAGAAAACTCAAATGCCTTTTTTCTTTTTATGAGCTTCTTGGGGAAGCCTCAAAAAAAAAAATCTTTCAACTCCGAAGTATAAGAGGTGAATAAGTGGTTCCTTGAGGCACTACACAGGTGAATATTGCATCCTAATTTGAGGCATGATTTTTACTGAGATGTTCAAGTTATGATGCTGTTAACACAAGGTGTACCGTGGAAATGTTGCCCCGTTGAATGTGGATCTGCAGTGATTCTGATACACCCTTGACTGTTTAGATTACTTTGTGCTTAAGCACATTGGGCTTGTGTTAAAAGCCCAATTTTAACAAGTAAAATAAGTTAGCAGCTGATTAACGTGATGATACCCAAATTTAGGTGAAACAGTCATAAATTAGTGTCCTTGAGACAATAAGTTTCACAATGTCATTCCTTATGGGTTGTGTTTTGTTTCAAAATTTTAAACATGGTGGTTCTTTTAATTTAAAGAAGCATTATTTACTTCTATGGTGTAAGCTTGGAAGGTTTTCTAATTATTGTGTTTTTTTTGTTTGCTTTAAGAGTCAGATTTACAGATCTGTCAACATCGAGCACCAACGTGTTGCACCAAAAAAATGGAAGAAAGCTACCAGGCAGCTGTTCGAAGGGAGAGGACTCAAAGTATCCAGGCACTCAACTTTGAACTGAAATACATGATTGTTGGTCATATCACAGCTTTTCAAGGTAGGAACTTGTGAGGTACTGCAGTCCTATGAGTAGTTTATAAAAGTATCCTCTGCAATCAGAGGGAAAAGCTTTCCTTTGTTTTTCACTTCTCTTGCATTGCATGCTGTATTCGTTGGCTTATGGTTTACTTCCCTGTTCTTTGATGATCCAGTTTTTGGTAAAAGGTGATGGCACTTAATCTTGGCTGGTATTTTAAGCGTTTGCCTGAGTCTAATTAGGAATAGATTTAAGCTTAGACCTTGTTCCTGGGACCATTTTAAAAAAGATTGGCATGGATTTTTTTCAAGGCTTTTTCACATGTCATTTAGGCGCCTGATGCTGTTTGTTTTTTGTTATTTTCTTGTGTTGCCAAACTGCTTACGAGTATAGAAAGCTAAATGAAAATGCATTTGTTGATGGTGAAGAGTAAGTGCCCTAACTGATATGTCAAATGAGAACACAGCACTCCCTTCATGTCAAAATGTTTCACTACCTGGTGGGTCACATGAAGAGTGATCCGTTTTCAAGAATTACAGCCACACCAATATGAATGCTTGAAAGAACCTGTGCTGAAAGTCTGTTCTCATAACTTTTGCTGTTCTCAAAGCTGTCTTGCTCTAACAGGTTGATGTAAGTCTATTAGTGTCTCCATACAGATGGTTATTGTACTGTTAAAAGGGAGGAAAATGCTTGTGTAGGACTGTGTACTATACAGTGTTGAGCATTGGAGACTTTTCTCCAGAACGGCATTTAAGCATGGGCTGTGAACTTTAAATATATGAGTTGAGTGATTAAATCAATCATGGAGTGATGAATCCAGCTTACTGACTTCTGTGGGCCTAACTATGTGCTTAATTTTAAGTCACTGCTTTGGTATGTTTAGTGCTGAGCACCCTCACGGAATGGGTTTTGAAAGCAAGCCAGTAGTTATTAAAATACAAAGTGTTGAGGTCTGTATGATTAAGCCCGTTGTTGCAAGGCAGTTTTTATCAAATAGCTTTTTTGTCTAGTTTCTTCTAGTATCTTTCTATAAATAAAAGATGTGAGTGACAGTTAATAAGAAATAGCATATTATCTAAAATTGATGATAAGTGATGGTGGAAGCCTGAAAGAGACATGCAAGGGTGAGGCAAAAGTTTTCTTCTGCTTTTGGTCATTTACCTCTCTTTCCTCTGTTCTGTACCAATGAGTGAGATATGGCATTTTGGTTTGTTTTACAACTAATTTTTGAAAATTTTTAATATTCCCCATGATTTAAAAATTTGTTTGGAGGGCACTTTGAAGGAACACTGTAGTAAAAGGATGACTGTTGGCGTTGTTAAATGCTGGTAAGTTATTCAAGCAATCTTTCAGTATCATGATTGAATAAAGAGAAGGTCAGAATAGATTAACCTACCAGCCCCTTTAGGTCAAGCCAGAGGCTTTATTGTCCATTGCTCATGAGGCCTTTTGATAGAATGAAAGAAGTAGTTAGACATTTCACACAGTTTAAATTTACAAGCATTTCTCTGGAAGTAGGTAAATAGGTTGGTTGTTGTAACTTGTTACAGCCGGTCTTCTGTCTACATTAGGTGGGAACACTTGAAAAATATAACTTTCCTCTTTTGCACTGAGAGCTGCTTTTGTTCTTTGGTTTTGTCCCAGGTGTCAGTGAAAAGCCTCTCTCTTTATCTTGTGCTGTATAAACATTCTGTTGCTAAGAGTAGTACTGTGTGAGACATTTACCGAGAGGGAAGATCTTTGCATTGAATTAACTCTGTCCTTTTGGTCTGTTTTGGTTTGTTGCTATTTTGAATGATAAAGTGTGAGTGTGTGAAAAGCACGTTTAAAGTCTGAGAAAATAAATGTCCTTATTTTAGAAGCTTTCAGGTTCCTTTCAGATTTCATGTTTCTTGCAGCAGTAAGAACTGGCTCAGACTTGCTAAAAAAAAAAAGACTATTTATCTGTATGTGGTGGTGTTTATTTGTACAATTTTCATGCACAATTTCTTTTCTCTTATATATACACACAGATTTTTAGTGCTGTTAGTGTAGTCAAAGCAAAGCAGTAGTTAGCCTTGCTGCCTACTGCTGAGGAAAAGAAATCTTAACTGCTTTTTATGCATTTTTAGCAGACAATAACATTAATATTACAGCCATACTGATAATTTTCAAGACTAATATGGTATAAGAAATAGATTTTCAGGAGTCTGGCTTTGAGAACGCAGTGGTGGGAATTAAATTTCAGTGGAAAGAGAGAGCCACTTTTTTTGGAGGGGGGGAACAGAGAGAATGTGTTTAAGTTCTCATCTCCTTATTTTCCTTCATGGAAGTCAAGAGACAGTTCTGAGGACCTGCAGTTAGATACCACAAGTATTACTAGGAAGGAGGTTTCTCATGTGAGTAGTTCTTTGTTATGAGTTCAGTTAAATATTCCCTCTTCGTATTGCAGTTGTCTGTGGACATTTGGGACTTGAAGAGATTTTTGTTTTCATTTTTCTTTTTGAAATTGAAAATGTTATTTAAGTAGCTTTACCCACAGCTGAAATAGGACAATTTTCACAGGTGCTGGATTTAGTTGTGCAAAATAATTAGTCTGTAAGACTTGATTAAATATACCACAGCTGTGGGCAGACTTGTTATATTTGGGCTAATGCCCAGTCTGTACATATGGACAGCCTTAGCACTAAGGTCAATCCTGCTATTTTTCCTCCGTTTAAGTTTTTCAATATTGGCAACCCAGACCTTGGTCAAACACTTAATAAATCAAGCTTCTGCATGGATGTTTTTTGCTTGAATTTGTGTCTGAAATGCTATTGCTGTTACACCTGATTTGAGTAGGAAGAGGCACATTGACATCAGCTGCAGGCTGTAAAATGCCCTCCCCATTAGTAACAGGAGGAAGGGAGAGAGGCAGGAAGGAAAGGGCTAGCTGGCTGCTTGGGAAGGATGTCATCAGAATCAGCTCATGCAGAATCATACATTGTCGCAAAATCTTTTGGGTGTTGGGCGTGTTGAATGTAACCAGGCCTCTGGGGAATGGTTTCATGGAAAGCTTCTGGATTCACTTTCTCTTAGTGTTTTGGTCCATGGTGTAGCCTAAAAATCATAATCATGGTGTTAATCACTCTACAGATGTATTATTAGTGACTCTGCTCCAAATGGAGTCATAGGCAAGGTGGACTGAGTGGATGAGATGTCTAAGTGTGCCAAACTGTAATAGGAGCAGCATAACAGAGAATGTGCCTGTTGTAGTGATCCTAGTGTGTCACTGTCTGGCTCTTCACAGATGAGTTTGTTTTGGATGCATCTTGGAGTGAGTCAGTTTGTCCTATGCAAAGATGTGCCCATCTTTCTGTCTGTTGCTGTGGCTGCGGTCTGCAATGCCCAGCAGAACTATTTACGTGAATGATCAAACAGGATGCTTTCATTTTGTAACTTGCTTTCCCCTCTGATAACCAGAATATTCTCCTTTGAACTTACTGGGTTTTGTCCCAACTTTTTTTAGGCTTGTGTGTAAACAAATGTATTGTTTTATGTTAGATTTATGTCTTAAGGGTGATGCTACATGTTCCTTGGCACAGTCATCTCTCTGTTCCCCCCCCAATTCCCTCATGCAGTCCTTGCACTCCCTGGGGACGCTTCCAAGCAAGGCAACTGTGATTCATTGTTAGTGGATTAAAAGTGGTGTGGGTGTGCAGGCTGAAAGTTGCTGTCAGAAGAGGTATCAATAGTCTGATGGGAAGGCTTTGTTGTGGGCAGACAGCAGAGAGAAACCTGCCCTCCCTTTTTTGTGTCCTTTATGGAGTGCCAACAGGTGCTGTGTAAGGACCCACAGGCAGCTTGGCTCTGCTCCTGCCATCCTATGCTGAGGCTAATTTGAGGTAATGAGAATCCAAACACTGGTAATTTATTTGTTCTGTTGATGATCTTTGCAGAGAGGCAGAACAAGATACTTAGAAACCTACATCACATTTCAGTCACCAAATTAGCAGGCATCAGAGGTACAGTGAAAAGCTTTGAGCTCAGCAGTTTAAAAATAAATACTATTCTTTGCTGCACTTTTTGTTTTTACAGCAGGCAATAGGAATTTTTCACTCACAGCCTCTGAAGAGAAAGCTCATTTGTGAATGAAAGTATGTTGGTCATAAAGTGATAATTTTGTGTCGTTTCTCTGAAATAGCGTTCATTTGACCTTGAGAGGGTCAAATGGCAAAATGGCAGGGCCAGGTGTTCCCACATTCTCCCAACTATAGAAGGATGGATGAGCTTTATAGCATGCTGTTCCTCTCGCTCCTAACTCAAGTGGTTTGGCAAAGCTGTGCTTATGTTCTGCTTTATGTGGGATGAGGAGATGGTAATTGGGGAAACTCCTGGCTGCTGTTTCTAATATCAGGAGTTGCAGTGGCATGGCTGTGCACACACATTGTTTTGCTCTGTTATCTGATCCAAGCAGGCAACTGGGAAGGACATGAATGGTACAAAGTGGAGAGGGAGGAGACCTGGTGTAGCAGGGATGGTGCCCAGGACTCCTGTTTGTCAGTAAAATGCCTGGAAGTTGATGCTGGTTCATCCAAAGAGTCCACAAGCACAAAATTTTTGATCTGGCATCCTCCCTAGTGAATGGTCAGCTGACTTCTGGGGGTCTTGAGATGGATACCATTAGTGGGTCTGGTAATCAACTGGCTTGAACGTTCCCATAAACAAGTAACACAGTACGCTGGCACTCAGAGCCATATGGAGTCAAAAACATTCTCCATTTTAATTTGGCTGAGTTGCAGTGTTGCTGACATTTATTTTTACTGAATTTAGGAATATCTGCTTGAAATAGGGGTGACTGGTTAATGGTGTTGAAGTGCAACGAAATTTACAAAACAAAAAAGACTTGGCTGGAGAAGTGCACTCTAGTTTGTCGTTAATTACTATATGAAGTGTAGTCACAATGCTGGAGATGGATGCAGTCCAAAATCAATGAGCTATTTAAAAAAAAAGCCAACCATCACCAACAGAAACCTGCCAGCTATCACCAGCAATGCCTC